TACACTACTTTATACAAAGGTAATCAATCCGTATAACTAATATAAACTAATTATCCGGACATTTGTTTCAGTTAGGATGATGTCGGTGTGAATTTTGAGAGGATTCATCCTATATCGGTTCGAGCCTGGCCGCGTCACACCAAAAGACGTTAAAAGATGGTACTTTTTGTTACCCTGCCTGGTACTGGGCATCAAGAGACTAAACAAGTACGGTTATGCTCGTAAACAGTATACTGTGTCTGAGTGGGTTATCAATGTTAACCTGCGGCATGGTACCTCAGTGGGCTAGCACTATAAAACCGGCATTAGTGTAGACGTGTACAATCAACCACACACACACATACGTGCATGCACGTCGCTATATGAGTGCAATAATATCTAACGCGACGTTAAACCCCATTTCACCAAGTCTAGATGTTTACATTTTACTTCTATCGTTTCATTTGAAGCATGAACACATCACTAAATCTAATCACTGGAAACAGGCACGTGAATGAGAGATCACAATGGACCCGGAGATAACAACTGAAGCAATTAAAGGTGGCCTTGCAATTCTTAACATTCCCTGTGTCTAACAGAGAATAAACGTCTATGTTCACCCTTTGAATGAATCAAAGTCATTGTGACATCTCCCTACTCATGCTTTGAATATAACATAAGGCGATACCTACGATCTTCGTCTAAAATGAATAAACCCACGAGGGCAGTGTACACTAGTGCCGAAACGTGAACTAAATTTTGGACCTCTGAATTATTTCATCGACCACCCGACACATATTAATAACACCGCCATTTTAAGACACGGGAACCCTCACAATCTGAATCCTTGTGATTATGAGGTGAGAACATCATCAAGACTCGTTAATTTCATTATCCAAGACTTAGCCACTGCAGGCTCGTACCGTAGCCCCTAGTCCCTCCCACCACAACACTGGCTAGAGGACGGACGTCAGCATCGATCAATACATAATGAACAACGCTTGGGAGTGACCCAGCCCGCACTTTGATCTCCTTGGATAGCGCAATGGTCAGCTGCGTGATTAGGCATGTGTTTCCGCTTCCGTTGCTTCACTTCCCCAGGACCATGTATTATTCCGCAACACTGGGCGAACGCGCCACTTTGCATTGTTTTTCAGCAAGTAATTGACCAGGCAAGGACTACCCTCAGCCGAAATTGGTTCCCCACTTATTTAAAGAATTAAAAGAAGTATCAACCTCTCAAAAGTACGTGCGTGTGTCTCACATATTTCACGATAGGGTTTTTTGGTCGATATTCATACTAATCTCACCTCGCATATTTCAAATAAGTACCACGCGAGGAATTGCGGTTCGACTCCTGCCATGTTGGGAGTGCAAGTAATATTTCATACGATAATGTTCCGCGGCACGGTTTTTGCCGACTCATATTTAATTGATGCCGTTTGAAAAGTGCTCAGGGGTAACGCAACAGAGAGGAGACGTAGACAGACGTCATCTGGTTTCAAGGAAGCACAAGTGTCGATGACACAATCATGAATATTCAGTAGTCAAGAAATGCATCAACTCTTAAGATTTTCTAAAATGCGAGCCTGAAAAGCACCTGTGTTGTTTTATTGCCCTGAAACACTCTTTGACATTTCAAGATACGGAATAAGCTACATAATGGTCGGTACCGTACGCTACCTTGTTGTCAGCAACAACATCGCAATGTCATCGATATGTACAGGTAGGCTGCGAGATAACGAGACACAACGTAATTAGCTAAATATGCTCGCCACAATATTCGATGTGACATTTGAATTCAATTCAAATAAGGAGACTGTCGTCTTTCATTACAGAGAAATTTGAGATGACGGTCATATGTGACTTGCAACGCTACAGATATCGGATGCACAATCCATCGAGCGCCGTTTCTTGGTGGCAGATGACGAATATAGGGTGTGTTGGACAATTAAGGGTGGGGAGGGGCATTGATAGCGTGTACACCTAATATGACCTGAAAGACTCCCAACCACCCAAGACGTATTGCCTGCAAGCATCTATTTTTTTCTGAACTACAAAGAGCGGTTTAAAAAAGGTTAGTATACTTCAAATAGAATTCAGATAAAAATATTTATTTCAAATAATTCTAATATTGTATTTAAAAACATAATTAAAAAAATAAATAAAAATAACTAAATAACTAAATAAAAATATTAAAACCATCATCATCATAATCATGATCATCCGCTTTTTAAACGCATTACTCAATACGTAATGTGTATTCGAAGCGCTGCATTCTTTTTACCCGGGTCAATGGTTCAGTGTGCACTCGATTTTTCATTCTCAGCGAACGAGTACCTATTTCTACTCTTCAGTTTTGAAATAATGAAGGTTTGGGGACCAGTGCACTATCTGCTAGATTTAGGTTTGTCCGACGGATGACCTTAGTTGTGAACACATCTTTGTAGGAGTTGGACTGTGTGTCGAAACACAAATCATGATACTACATACCGTATTTCCTCTATTACACGCTGGACATCTGTCCGTCTCTATTGAGAAGGAATGCAAAATTCAATCAATGTCCAAGACAACAGTTACCTATTTTATACTGTGACATGTTGGTGATTAATAATGATCGTTTCTAAAAATGTACACATTTTATGGCGAGAGAAGTTGGGCTTGGTAATGCGGTGAGTTGCCAATGTGCCAACATTAAACAGATTCAGGTAAACAACGGATTACTCGAAATCAACAGACGCTCGACCGTCCAATTGAGGAAATACGGTATCCCGAGATTAGTTTTTCCACGGATGATTATACTATTAAACTAATGTTTTGAGGGTTTCGAAACATGTTTCGCGACAAATAAGTACCAGTGGTGGTTGTTTAAGATAGCAGTAAGCAATATTTGAGCAATACCACGGCGGTCTATAAATCGTCGAGTCTGGCAAACATGTGCCATCACAATGCACAATCCCCTTCAGACGGCTCTTACGATAAACAAGGGTCACTGGGGACCTAATCTTTGATGGAATCCCCAAAAGGTTCAACAGGGATGGATTGGCTTTTCCTAAATGTTCGGCTAAAGGAAGGCCATTGAAAAAACCGTTTCCCTAAAAGAGCGGCATGTTTCACCGTGAAATTAATGTTAAGAAAATATCTATATATGATCACATTTGTCGTAATACGTACTTCTTGCTATCTTGACCAAATAATTTCACAAATTTCTTGGGATGCGTGTAGTCAGTTAGTACGTCACATGCTTCCTCGTACGGTCGGTCGGTCATCGTGGATAGCACAGGGACCCCGTTCAATAAAGCTATCCGAGGACAATTATAATTCCCATACTTTAACATAGACCTACGATGTTCGCAGTGCTAAGACAACTTTGTGGCTACCTAAGAGTTCGGAATAACCAGATCCCTGTACAAACGAAACAAGCACTTTTCTAGTCCTTTCACTAAACTGGTTTCCCTCGAGTACAGCAAATTCTGTAGGTGTATGGATATATTTTTGTCCGATCTTTAATCGAGACAATTGTAACGTTGCATTAAGCATACTTCTGGTCCACTGCAGAAAGACGAGAAAACGATTTTCTTTCTGACAGAAAACGCTAATACCACCGTTATTACTTGTGGCATCATGTTTTGTCTGATCAGATTTCTGCCAAGAGGGCTGCAGAGGAGGATGACACTGACGCATCAGTTTCCAGGTGAGGCAGTCAGTACACCCATACCCAAGGAAACCGGTCAGATGTTGACTCCGTGGACTAACATTAAGTCCCAGAAATATAGTTACCTTATTTAAACATATATATCTACACATAAAAAAACTCCTCCAAATGGAGCCCTGAACATTGCGTAAATTCAGAGGCAATCTAGACTTGCCAAATCATTCCAGACAGGAGTTGGACTCATTTTCTAATTTATTCTCTGGGGTCTTGGAGACACCTCTGCAACCATAACCCGGACATGGAACGTTGGCCGGTGTATGAACACCGGGCCTTGTTCCACAAAGGGATCTCAGCGCTAAGGTGATCGAAACGCCCATACTTTAACATAGACTTACGATCATGTATCGATGAGATCGCTTTGTGGAAAGGGGCACTGACCCTTACACGCCAACATAATAAAGTGTGAGCGAGTTGTGTTTGATTCAGTTTTGAACAGATTTCAGTTTCTTATCACGGCGTGGAGGCTTAACATTGGAGGAGAGCCCGAAATCCACGGTTATTGGGCTGACAAACCTTGAAACATTCAGGGCGAACCGGAATTCAAATCCGCGATGATAGGTGTCTTGCACGCAAATACGAAGGGCATGACTTGCTATTTGTAAAACTAACCAACCAGTCTCCTGTAATTAACTGGAGTTACAGAATAAGTGAGTGACTTAGGTTTATTAGTATGGGGACACCAAGAATGGGCTTTACACATTGAACCATTATGGGGAATCTGACCCGGCCTTCCCAGTGAAGGGCGAAGTTTAACAGTAGGGATTCACTCTTATTTTGTTCACACGAAAGCGTTAACATTAACTACAACAGTTAACCTTCTAATAAATATGGGTTGTGTTTATGTACCCCTTGCTTTCTTTCCACCAGAGGATGTATATGCCACGGTTCATCGCACATGTAGTCTTAATTTCTCACAGATGAAATACAAAACCTGCTAGCCCGGCGAACCAACTTCAAACTGTCCTGCAATGAGACGTTACTTGGGCAGATGAAGAAATAGAAAAGAGGTGAGGTCAAGTGAAACGTCGGGCTCAAGATTATTGCACTTATATAGCGACATACGTCTGTATGTGGCTGTTTATACTAGTCCTGACTAATGCCGGTTTTATAGTGCAAACCCACCGATATACCATGCCGCAGTATAACATGGATACTCCACCCAGACACAGTATACTGTTTTATCCCCTAAATGGCGAGCGCCAGGCAGGGAAACAACAAGTACCATCTTTTGGTAGGAAGCAGCCGGGGATCGTACAACTCCAATAGAAAGGAACAAAACATATTGAAACAGAACAAAACGAATTGCTACATTTGTTGTCCTGGACAGAGTTTTATTGAAGTATACGAGTACCATGTACTGTCATTACAAGTGATAATCCACGTCATAAATACGTACATTAAGCCGGTCTAATAGTAGTACATTACATGTACGTACGATCAGGTCACGTCATAAATAAAGGCACGAGCGAAACAGGGAGGAGAACAGAACAGCTTAGCACTTTCATCTAGGTCAGTGGGAGAAACTATGCATCTCAAACAAGAGGGAAATTAAAAAAAAGATGTAACAACGCCATAAGAATTCAAGAAAAATAATATATACTTTCTTTGCATAAAATCTCCATTAGTTGTGGTACTAAAACGTAATAATATTCGCCATATAAGGGAGGTAAGATATTAGCTCCACATCACAGAAGTTCACATGATGTAATTCCCGCCAAAACGTGATAGTTTTAATAACAAGTACAATTCAAAATATACTTTTTAAATTGTTCAAATTGACAATACCCTTGTAATGTTGCCCGGCACATCCAGGGTTAACCATAGAGAGATCAGAGGAAGTGAGGAACGAACCATCCCATGAAGGAAAAATCATTCATATCTATATATTCTTGTAGACAGAATGACATCCAGCTTTAAACTTTCACATCAATAATAAAAATTCAAGATGCTTACCATTACCTTTAGCACAGTCACATTTTGTTGAATTAACAAAAAAAAAACCTCGAGGGATTGTGCTGTACATATTTAATGAAAAAATCTCAGCCACTTCTCTGATTTGCTACACAGAATTAAATACATTTATATTGAGATCAAGTTCTAGCTTCAGAGACTGGGGTTGTATTTGACCTGGTTCATTATAAAATACTGCAAGTTTTTAATATTTAGTAATGTTTTCAAATCTTACCAAAGGCCAAATACATTGCTGCAATTGACGTTCAGAGACATTTTTGTAGATTCCTAGGTTTGAATTCTTTGCGAGATCATGCCATGTCTTAACATGTCAATTTTGTAATTACAAATGTTTCGGATGGCCTTTATCAAAAACCCTCGCTGGTACTAATCAGAGTAGCTGCCTAAAAGGTGTTATGTTACCATTAGCGATGCCAACACTAACAGCCAGGGGACATTTTCCTTCAGTTGATGGTGTTTTCCACATCATAATTAGCATGAAAAACATGTGATGCTTAGAAGATAAAACATAAAGTGATTTGCTGTAGGCTGTAGATCACATAACATACAATATTGAGAGACCGGAATCCCTTTATACGAAATAGATAACAGTACAAGCTTTTCGTCACCAGCATCACACATTCTTCATGTCACATAGAACCATTCTTAGCCCACCAGATTGGCATTACCATGCACTGTGGAAGAATTCAGTATTTGTTAATATATTTTATCATTCTTCTCCAATTATCTCGAGTTGAATCATAAAATTTAACTTCTTATGTGTGTTAAGTTAGTCAATCTGTTGGACATAATCCACAAAGTTAGTTAATCACAAGGGTTGGTACTACAAGAGTGATGTGGAGAGACTATACACATTATGAATTAGAACACTGAATGTAAAACATTAACTAACTGCCCCATACAGAAAACAATCATCTCCAGGCCTTTTACATGCTTATATTTGAGCTAGGAAATTCAGACTTAGAGTGTTAGGATCTTGAAAATGAATTTGTACAAATTCTTAGTTTCCAAAAATCTAAATAACAAAAACTGTTCCAATGTTGTTGTTTTCTTCTAGATGCATGAAGCTGTATTTTGGATATTCATTCTCTGTATGGAAACATCAAATAACAGAACCGGGGAGAAATGAGGATGGAATTTACCAATCTACAGTGGAATCAAATTGTAATTAATAATTCATTAAATGCCATTTTCAATCCGTTTCAAGACCCTCTATGTTACATCTGGATCTATATAACATGAGCAAAACTACACACAGTATACAAATGAAAATGTTCAAGATTCAAATGAATTGTATGTAACAAGAATGGGAGCAGGGTCCCTTGTAGACACTGCCCCACCCCCCATGGCTCTGACAGGGGGAGGGGCGGGACATGCAACATTTACACAAGCAGCTGAAGCAAAACTCTAGTAAAACACAATCGTGTCATGATGTTGATACAAGTTAGAAGACATCAGAAATTGAACATGTTAAAGAAGAGAGTTCAGATGAGCTTAGGGGTTAGGGAAATATATTGAAAAAAATGCAACATTTCATATCATTGTTAGGTTTAGTTTTCAAGTAAACCATGCAAATTCTGAATAAATGTTACAAAGGATTCTCCCAAGTTGGCGCCAGTAAAATATGTAGCAAAACGTTGTCCTTAATAATTGTATTCAATCAAATCTTCAGTGATGAGTAACAGTCATTAGATGCGTAAAAAAGTTGAGTTTTAACACTGAAAACACAAACAACATGTCTTAACTGTACAACAACTGTAAATCTTAAAAATCACTTTAAATATCTATTCATTTGAGATAACATTCCTAGTAAAGTCTGTCTGATTAAATCAGAATTACAAAAGAACCATACATAAGATCATAATGTAAACAGACAAGAGTTTGTGCAATTACAAGCAACAGAATTTCCTATACAATTTGGAGTAGACTTAATAACTTAAAAAAACAGTCACACGACTCTTACATTACTAAAAGTGTAAATGTATGACCACATACTGTATCTAATGTAAAAGAAATGTAATATTCCAATAGTCAATTTACTGTACAAAATGTTTGTGGTTCAAATTATGGATTTCAAAGTCATAAACCTTTGAGAGATTTATTATTTTTAAGGAAAAAAAACCCCACAGAGAACAACATAAATGGAACCTTGCAAAAATGTACTGAAGTGAACTGTTTACAAATCTGTCCAGAACATGCAGTCGACATAATGGACAACAATCTTCAGCTTACATCTTTCCCCCAAAATCCATAAATAACACCCGCATAAATTGTTGAATTTTAAGTCCTTAAAAATTGGACGTTTTGCTACAAATCTTTCTTCAACAAATGAAATGCCCCACAAATGTCAAAAAAAGAAACACTGGAAGGTGTTTTAGAACAAAGGATCCACCCTTCAGCCATGAATACATTGGTGAGTAATATAAATGTATGGCACTTGGAGAAAACGAAACCCAACAGTTTTCAGAATTAAACTAGTAAAGTCAGGACAACCCTTATACACATAAACTTATACACATAGTCAGCGTAGTCGAGACGTGTCAGTCCTTACACTGCACGAAAGGGTGCACTGTGGTCTCATACTGCACAACTGATGCACTGTGATCTAGAACTGGACAACAGATGGTGCTAGGACTCATACTACACAACTGATGGCACTGCTGTCCCATTCCGGATTACCGATGGCGCTGCAGATCTATACTGGACAACAGATGGCACTGTATTTGTGTTCTTTACCAACAAATTACGCTGTGTTCTTGTTCTTGACCAATTTACGCTACGTTCTTGTAGTGGACAACAGATGGCGTTAATTCTTGTAGTGGACCAACAATTTGTGCTGCATTCTTGTCATGGACAACAGATCACACTGGTTCTCGTACTGCACAACTGGTGGTGCTGCATTCTTCTGGAGCAGGCAATGTCTTTATCATTGCACCTCCTCATGGTACAGCTTCACAACTCGTGACATTATAGTGTGTATGAGGAGGACTGGACACACAACCCTAGTATCAGACATAGTATAGGACATCTCGTGTGGTCATTTCCAATCAGGACTGATACTACAGTTGGAACTTGATAAATATCAACACAAAGCATCAAAAATAAACTATTTCTAGTGGTCTATTGTTCTACTCCAACCTCCGGTGCTTCTGGACCAGTGTTCTTGGATTCACAATCATCATGTAGGCAAATAGTTAACCTAGTCTCACGTTCAATTACTACATATATATGGCACCAAATTGTTGCTGTTCATTTTGAAAACATAACAAGGTTTTTTTTTGTAATTCTTCACCGAAATATTCTTAACTTAATGTACAGTTATCGTAATTATCAAACCAGTCAACCCTTGTATTGTCCGAGGGCTGAATCGCCATCATGAACACATCAACACTTGCAAATGATTTCAAATACTATCTCTGTCTTTGCAGTTCTGGTTTCCCAATTCCAGGCGCATGATTCAAATCTTGCACCCACAGATCTAAGGTTTGACTGGTCTGAAATTATTTATACAAAAAACAGACATTATCCAATCAGCTTTTAGCCCAACAAAGAATACTATGCAATAATGCAATAAATAGCGTATTGCACGGACAGAGAAGTCCAGGGTGTTTTAGACTGCACCAGGCCGCAGTGATAGGGTCAGCTATAGCCTTTCAAGCTAAATACAAAATAGCGGATACACTGTCTATAATTGTAGTCATATGCTCGTCTGCACCGCCAACAACACATTAACCATGCAATAAGTAACTAAAACACTGCTAATTGATAAGTTTTGCAAAGTTTTTCAAGTAGTAACTGTGTAATAAAAGCCCTCACATGCTTTCACCTCTAGCTCACTAGCTGCCGTATATTAGTTGCAAAACAAACCGCACCGGATTCAACAGCCCTTTATGATCCTTGGAGTACAGGAGTTTCACTCTTGCTTCTCCCGGATCAAGTCCCATTATGCGCTTCCCAGTCTAACTGGCAGTAGTTGCATATTAAAAAAGTATCACCATTTCTCGTCCCTGCTTCAAAAGGACCATAATTCCATGTCGATGACAACAACAACAATGATGGCGGCGATGCTAGCGGCCGTCCAATCACGTCCAGGCATTCTTGGAGGACTTGCTAACACTCCTGGCACAACAAACATTGCCCTCTCAACATCACCACAATCCTGTTTGTAGGCGAAGGCTTGGCAAAATCCTCAGCATATGTCAATTTTTCAAGGCAACTCAATTTAACAAGTTCTGCTGCCATTAAACAATAGTTTTCAACTATGGAGTTATCTTCCCCTGCACAGACACAGTGTTGCTTGTAATTGTCCAATGTTTCTTCAAGCTACCAGCTGCCCCAGTGCGTTTGGCCGAACATATGGTGGCACTGACCAAGTGCTTGCTACAGACCTACTTTTCAAGTAAACTTTGACAAGGAAACACAAACAGATGAAAATATTCACTTTGCATATGGAAGCATTAAGAACAAACAGCTTTTCAAGCTATAGGCAATCCAACACTGCAGGAAGCTTTAAGCCAAACAAGGTATAGTATATTTTTTCAGAAAGTTAGTCTTTTTCACAGGTATGGGTTTATAGTCAGTATTTGACCTGACTAAGGTAATAAGCAAGAGTAAAATCTTTCTCTACCTGTAGAATAGACAGAAAAAATATAACATCTAAACTATTGGATAACCACACACACTCACTCAGTCCATCTTGTGGGCTTCTTCGAAGCCATAAAAAACATTGTTTTCCAGAACCCCAAAGTAGTATTATCTTTGTACACAGTAATCCTTAGGCACTATGGTTCTAGTATAATTAACACAATAGTAACGGTATAATCTAACTCCCACAAAGCACCAGTCAATATGGCCCACTCAGACACATGAGTACGATGTTGCAACAGGGTGATGTTAGGTACATTTAGCACTGTTAGCTGCTGCGGGAGGATAGGTGTGACTGAAATATGTTGGAAACTAGGGGGAAACGATACCGCTGTGATACAATGGTTTACAAGTCTGTATTGTTACACGAATGATACCTAAATTTTTTCACAATTTGAACGAGAAGATACCAAAAGGTGCTCATTAAAAGGAAACTTAACAAAAAAATGGTGTAAACCTCGAACATTCAATTTTTGTAAAATGGTACAATCATACTGCAATCCTTGTATCGCGATACATATCTGATCTCATCCCTTGTATCGTTATGCCCCTAGTGGAACGCTCATCATACAAAACTGATTTCATTGTTCTTATATACTGCCACTTCTTAAAGACAGTTAAAACAAGACATAAAAATCTACAATATCTCATATATGTAACTTTAAAAACAGCACTAACAATCGGGGGCATTATCAAACAACAAGTTGTAAATAAAATAACAATAGCACTTACAGATGATAGGATAACCCTTAATTGATTAACCAAGTAAAATTATTGAGACAATCATGCCATAGCACTTTGATACACAGACTACTGTGATGGTAAAACTAGGAACATACAGGTGACCATGCAATACTAAACAGCACTTAACAATCGTGTGATCCATACCACTCGGGATCCTTTTTCCTGTGGGTAGCTGCTCTAGAGAAACTTATCACTGAACATGAAGATCATCACAGGGAGACTGACATTTCTTGGCAAGATTTCTGCTTATATGTGAAATAGCTGATCTCTGTCTTAACCAAAGCATACAAGTCACAACAATGTGATGGAAATGTTACAACATATTTCAGCCACGGTATGGCATTCAAATGTACAGAGTGTACTTAAAATAGGACCCTGTCAAGTACTGGTGGACATCCAACACGCTAGATTACACCGTTCATGTGGGCTATCGTGGACACCTATCAACAGGTCACATGACTTGACAGATTACTGTCTCGTGTGTGTATATGAAGTGCAGTGCATAACATTCAAACAGTTATCAAACAGCTAAAGTTGGACTGGTACCAATATCAATGGTATCGCTCTACAGACAAGATTGGTGGTTGGTTAGCTGGGTCCCTCCCCTGTGCAATATGACTTTATAACAGCATCCCCCTAACCACGCCTACACGTCTGTACAACCATACTGAAACAAGACGGATTACTTTTGTAGTATAACTTGGCATTTAGACTCCAAAACCAGAGAGCATCGTAAGCATTAACATGAATATGGCAGTAAGAAAGGAAAGAGAATGTGAGTATTTTCAAGTGTTTCATACATGAATCGTTCATTGGATAGATAATCAGTGTTACTTTGTGCCATAGAAAGAAACATCTTAAAATAAGAAATAACAATAGTGTCAATAATCAACAAGGTATGATATAAATGTCTCTACGCTGAGTGAGCAATCATAGGTTTGAAGCAGTGGTACTACTGGTGTCCGATGTGTCAATGTCACCCATCAAGCCAACTGGCCGATGATTTTCCATGTCTGGAAATCCCGGCCGACGACCATCCATATCTGGATATCCTGGTTGACGACCATCAATGTCAGCCATCAGTCCTGGACGATTCTCGATGTCGTTTATCATTCCTGCCGTGCGGGTTTCGATATCGGCCATCGACCCTCCTGTGCGGTTCTCGATATCGGTCATCATCCCGCTAGATCGGCTATCACCACCGTTGGACAAAAGTCCCTGACGCTCACTCTCGGTCATTTGAAGCCGGCCAGCTTGTCTGCTCTCTACACATTTCCGCATGTGCTTCTCCAGTGTGCTTGGCACAGAAAAGGGCATATTGCAGAATTTGCATCTAAAGACGTCTTTACCAAGTCGCCCATGTGTCTTCATATGTCGTGTGAGCTTACTTGATTGGGCACATGCATAGTTGCACAAGCCGCACTTGTACGGTTTCTCACCCGTGTGGCTGCGACGATGGACTGTCAGATTGCTGCAGTTCTTAAACACCTTTCCACAATATTCACAAGTATCGTTCCGTCGACTATCTTTTCGAGCGAGAGGGTTGCCATTGACGGGAGACGAAGGTGTACTTGGGCCAGGTTTTGGCATACCTAGAGCTTTCAAGGCACTTTCGGCTGCTGCCGAGTTGAAGCCATTCTGTTCTCTCCCAAAATCTCTATGCAATCCAAATGGGTTGAGAGCAGGGTAGATGTCCCGCAGAGGATTAGCAGGGGGAAACCAGTAACGGGAATATATAGCAGCCTCCATGTTGCTGAGGGGTTCGGAGGTTGGCTCTCGCTTGATGCCATGCTTGAGGTGCAGGTCTGAGATAGGACTTGGTCCTGAGATCGGACTACCATAACTAAAAGCACTGTGGAGTGGGTGAGAGAGGGGGAACCTGTCACTGGGAGACATCTGAGTTGGGGAGTACTCTCTCTTGAGGTCCTCACTACTACTTCGTCCATTCTCCTCCTTCTCTCTCTCAGTGTCAGATTCCTTTGAGCTGTCATGCCTGTAGTTGTTCTCTTCTAGAGCTTGTCTAAAAGCTTCGTTGTATTGTTGAATGTTTTTCAAACCAGAGTTCTCCATCACCTCAGTGAGCAAACTGGACGTCTGAGGTTTATCTTTAAGCTCTGGAGATCCCGCCCCTGAAGGGGTGCCGTTGTGGTTCACATAGTTGCCATCAGTAGACCCCTGATCTTTGTCAGAACAATTGCTGGGGTTGTCAACACTGCGATTATCTATGCTGCGGTTATCATTGCTGCGACTGTCCATGTCGTTGTTGCTGTGGTCCCCCGCCAGTTGTTGCTGATCATCATTGATACGGTCAGCACTAACCTGATGGGTCTGCCCCTCCTGGGCACGCCGATCCTCCTCGGCCTCCTCATTCATGGCCTCAATCTCATCCTCCTCCAAGTCTTCGTCCATCATCTCTTCATCATCTTCATCTTCATCCTCATCCTCTTCATCATCATCATCCTCCAATCCAAAGCCTGTACCATCCAGCTTCAGGAAGATGTTCTTGTTGGAATCTGGCGTACTGCTACTAGATGGAACACTGCCATCAGAGTTGGAGGCATTGGAGCCTGAGACACCAGATAGTGGTGATTTATTCATATGTGTCTTCATGTGGCGTTTCAACTTGCTCTGTTGGGTGCAAGCATGTGGACACAGTGGGCATTTGAATGGCTTTTCCCCTGTATGTGACCTTCGATGAACAATAAGGTTACTTTGAAATCTAAATGTCTTGCCACAGAATTCACAAGCTTTGTTAGTGAGAGGCTTGTTTGCATTTGGAGATAGATGTCTTGAGATACCATCTTGAGGATGGCTTTGAACACCTTCTTGATGTCTTGAGGGCTGCGATTGTTGATTCTGAGGCGATTGCCTTTGCATCTGTGGTGAATTTTGTTGCTGCTGTTGCTGTTGCTGCTGCTGCTGTTGCTGTTGTTGTTGATGTTGATGCTGATGCAAAGATGTCAGTACAGATGCTGCCTGGGTAAATGGAGGGCCTTGCTTCTGCATCACAGGAGTTGCATGAGCCAGCTGTTGTAATCGCTTTGAATAAAAATCCATATGTGATTCTATTGAGTGTCGTGATCTGGATGCCGGATCAAATGCTGGATGGCTGAATGGAGGAGGAGGAGGAGGTGGATGATGATGATGATGATGCTCCATCCCTGGTGACATACCAATCAGATTGGGTCTCATCCTGAAGGGGTGATGCTCGTTCATCATTTCGAGGGGGAAATCCAGCCCATGTGGTGGACGGTTGAAGGGACTGAGGGGCGAGCTGATGTGCAGCGGTGAGCCGTGGTGAGGGGGCTGGACATTCTCCAGGGGGAGGCGAAATGGAGGGAAAGGTGACGGGTGTGGAAATGGCGACTCTGGCCCACTGCTGATTACCGAAGGAGGAGTTCGATGCTCGGTGCTTGGTCTGGGTGATGGCGTTGAGATGTCTAGTGGGGGAGGTGGGGTTGTGTAGATCTTCATACCATGTTCTTTTTGAGCGTGTTGCAGCAGGGTCCATGCTGAAGTGAATGTTGATTTGCAGTTCTCGCACACAAACTTGGAGGGTTCTGAAAAACACGGAAAGAAACCTTAATATGATGACATTTGTGTCTTGAAACAAAAACATGTATCTCTTAAACTTTTCCCCGATCCTTCATACCATTTCTTATTACATCATGTCAATAATTTCAACTGCATCAATGCTATTAATAGCCCTTAGCTCTGATTTCATCATTTCCCAATGCATCATAACATTCAAATATGTATCAACACACCTTGATCTACATAGATAGGGACGAATAAATCCATTCTGATGAAGCTTGGCCAATCTGACCAATGCACTACTTGCAACTCAAACATACAATCAGCAGTGTTTCTAGGATAAAACCAGACTGGGAAATAGTTGATCAAATGACAAGACTGTTTGAAATTACACTTTTATTTCATCCAAAATATGTCTGAATATAATGAGTGCGACAACCACACCGCCTAATTCTAGATGAAGTCAAGCCTTTTTTGTCCCAGCAACTGACAGTAATAAGGTATGACAGGCGTTACATTGTTATTCACCTAAGAAACTCATTTCTTTCCTCATAAAATGATAATCACTTTTAAGGGTGACAATAAGTCATTTTTCTTCACTATTACCATTCATGAATTTTTATTAGGCTGCATAAGAATTCATATTAGTGACATGATACCGACTTTTATCTGATGACATGAGCTGTTACACGCAAGACATTTGTTTTTGAACAAATATTTACACTGATGAACGAATGTCATCCTCTTGGTGACGGTCAGGATAAGACATTGCCACACAAAGGTGTCATTCAATTTTCTGTGATAAACATTCCCCACCATTACCATTCCTTAGACCAACATATAGTCTGAAATCTCGTATCACACAATACATTTCTCTCCCCTACACCCGTGCTAATGGGTTTCACCAAAGTGGTAAATGTCCAAGGCCTGAATCAGTTTGGGCTTTCCTCCCACATTAAGCTACCATGCCATGATATACATGGTATATTTTTCAAAGCTGCATAAGACGCAACTCACTCGCTCTCTTCTCTAAACCTAATTTTTTTCTGATTCTATGGAATAGAACTGGCTTGCTTTTTTCAAATATAGATTGGTTTTGTTTTTCTAAAATACAGGTGAGGTGAGGTGAGGTGAGGTGAGGTGAGGTGAGGTGAGGTGAGGTGAAATGGGGTTTAACGTTGTGTCCAAGATTATTGCACTTATATAGCGACATGCATGTACGGTGTGTGTTTGTGTGACTGCTTGTACTTGTCTTAACTGATGCCGATTAATAGTGCAAGCTCACCGAGATACCATGCCGCAGTTTAACATGAATACCCCACTCAGACACAGTATACGACATCGAGCTGACCAGTCCTTGTTTCAACCCCTTAATGCCGAGCACCAGACAGGGTAACAAAAAGTACCGTCTTTTATCGTCTTTTGGTATGACGCGGCTGGGGATCAAACCCCGGACCTTCTGCTCTCCGGGTGGATGCTCTACCACTAGACCACGGAGGCGGTTCTACAGAGTAATAGTCATGGGGCAGGACTACAATTCCTTCAACACAGCCCATGTGTGAAAGACTCATAACATGGTGAGTGCATCCTCACAAACACAGTGCATGCTGGCATGGTAACACCAGGATACATGTCAAGTTTCATCCAAGACCAAGCTGTTAAAGACCAGTAATTAGCAATATCAAATCATTTAATCTTTTCCTTGAAATCATATCAGCCTTGGGTTAATGGGAGGGAGATAGTTCATAAACAGTTTCATAGAACACTGGAGAGATGACCTCAACAGTGCTGTACATTTGGGTGTGACGGCATACTTTGACAGAAATATCTCCTGATGCACTAGCAATTACATGTTGCTCCCAGAACATGTGTCTAAGGCCTGGCCGAGGGGTGATGGAGAGAAGAGGGGGGAGAGAAGAGGGGAGAGGAATGATGGCTGGGAGGGGATGCAGTGAGGGGCAGGGACACAGACAGGCGATCTAGCTGTTGCCCATGCTTACTGCAACAGCCTGTGTTTAGCATCCTAGCTGCCAGAGATGGAATGGACAGATTGAAAGCTTCGTTCTCAAGTTTCCCATCAGGCCACAGTTTTTTGTCTCCCCAAACAGAAGAAATGGCTGGTGGCCAGGTGGTGGCAGCGGAGGGTGGGGAGCCTAGGAGGGAGGGGGTGAGACTGTCCTGATTGCAAATTGCCATAGATCCACACACGGTGCATCACTTGATGAAAATGTGTAATGTTAGGAATCTTGATGGTGTTTTCTCACCAATCTCATTAAATCACTTGGCTGGAATCTATCATAAAAATAGATGAAATGAAGGACAGAAGCCCACCATAGACATTTATAAAGAGTTGGTTAAAGTGGGCTTACTTCCTGGTCAGACTGAAGAATAAGACCCAATCTGACCTGAGACCTCACAGTTCACACATCACTAACACACTACTGCCAGGTCTTCATAGTCCTATCTCTGTTGAAAAAAACCTTCCGTTTGCAAGTTGAACAGGAGCCAAAGAATCGGTTTTTCGGCCATTGGTTGGTTCTATATGACATGGCAGTCTAGGACTGATAAAGCCGTGTGCACTTGTCTGACATCGCCACAACCTGCTTTGGCTACTGAGGTTAGCTTCCTCCAGCTATGCCATGGAAACCTATCCTCCTGTTTTTATACACCCTGGTGGTTATAAATAACCCCCAACATTTCAAGCCAAACTAGGGCAGGGGTGAGGGAGGAGGGGTGGCGAGGGGGTCTGTCTGAGAGCAGGCTGGTCTGTGCTTGGTGTGTGCTGGCACTGTGTGGTCTGGCCATCAAGGAAGAGGCTGGGCAGGGAATGCATCATGGTAAAGCTGGCAAACAGGGCTGACACTTGATGGGAATGCCAGACTCCCACTACAAGCAAGCATTCACACTTACATTATGCCATTGATATGTTACATACCTTCCACTTGGTTAACACATCACACAAACGGGGTCAGACTTCACCAAGACCGTTGGTGCCAGAACAAAGGGCACATGAGTGACATGGACAGTTAATCAGGCGCTGCTGTGTCTCATAGATTTGAGATAGGACATCATGCAGATATCATGAGATGTAACACACAGATGGCATACACCATGTCAAACTGTATATATCATGTGGCCATATATGCCTTGTCACACAGATCTCATTATATTCCATGTCACACTAAGACCGTATATACCATGTCACACAGAGACCATTATATTCCATGTCACACTAAGACCGTATATACCATGTCATACAGAGACTGTATAAATCATGAGACCATATATACCATGTCACACAGATCTCAGTATATTCCATGTCACACTGAGACCGTATATATTGTCATACAGACCGTATATACCATGTCACACTGAGACTATATATACTGTCACACAGAGACTGTATATACCATATCAAACAGATCTTATATACCATGTCACAAAGATCTCATTATATACCATGTCATACAGATCCCATATACCATGTCACACAGAGCTCATTATATACCATGTCACACAGATCTAATTATATACCATGTCACACAGATCTCATACCATGTCACACAGAGCTCATTATATACCATGTCACACAGAGACTGTATAAACCATGTCAGACAGATCCCATATACCATGTCACACAGATCTCACCATTTACCAAATCACACAGCAACTATTATGTACCCTATGACACAATAACTAGTATATTCGATGTCACACAAGGAAAAGTGATAGTTTCACAGGGAGGTCATGGGACATCAGCCTATCCCACAAGAAGGGACACAAGATACTGGTCACACAGCATAACATACAGCTGCTGAACCACAGATGCATCACACATGGAGACCATGAGACACTTGTGCCAACTGAAACAACATGCAAGTTACATTTAATACTTTTGATCTTTCGCTTTATTTAAACCCTCTGTCATATGGTCAAACCTCCATAGCTGACAAGGTCACCGGTCTTGGTATTGCCAGAAATATCTTCCTCTTATTCTAAACTGTAAAAGTTGATCAATTCAAAATTATATCGCGATAATCGATTAATTCATCAAGATTGAGAACAAAGCTTTGGATATGAAACCATAAATGGAATTTTGAAAATGACGAAGATCAGCTTATTGCATAATATGCAGTGAGTTAGTTGGTGGAGAGCCCCGCCGCATGTGTGTAGCTGCCTCCCCCAGTAGGCTGGTAGCAGGCAGGCCGGCCTGTGAGAAGCAGGCAATCAGGCACACCCGGGAGGCCACTCTGTCCAACAGAGGGATCTTATGTCATCTAAGCAAGTGCCATACATGGCCCGCCTGCCTTCCCAAACCAGCGGACGGACATTCATGCTAGATCCCTTGATCTGCTCTGCCTGTACCGCTTGCTTGCACAGCAAGTCTGCACTGTGCAGAATGCACAAGGGTGCGGCCAGTTAGCGCACGTAGCTTGAATGTCCTGCACTGCATATCATGAGGGTAATAGTAAGCAATGGACATTGGTGTGACTTAGTGCACATGTGACCTACTGCACCCGCTAGAGCCGGCAGGTATTATCACCAAGTCGTTGCCTGCCACGTGTCAGCTATATCAAGTACTTCCTTCTTTAACACTACCTATAGGACATGCAGTCCTGTTACCTGGGTAGTGAAGTACCAGGGATGCATCATCAGTCAATACAAACCCTGTAGTTGATGGGCTAAATAGTTCCTATGTCATATGTGTGGCGTGTACACTTTGTAACAATACCACCCAACAGTGTGTACATGTTGTAACCTGTGTGTCTGTTACACCCATGGGATATATCCTATGACATAACTCTGGTAGCTACCAGGTCATACACCACAAGAGATCACACTTTCACAACCCACAGGGATATGATCAGATCAACCAAGAGCGTGGAAAGGCGACATGCAATATCCGTAACAAACCCTCCACACATACCATTAGGCTTCAAGTACAATATGAACGCTTCTGGATGAAATTTTTACACAAATAAAACATCTCTGAAAAATCTACAAAATATTTTAAAATTTTCTAAAT